GATCCAAACTCACATACACACATGCAAATACTCTTTTTTCCGCTGACAGTCAGTCAGGCTGTGTAGCAGAAAGCTCTGGTAGCTCTGCTACTGGCAGGTATGTCCGTGAGCCAGCAGAGCACACCCTGCACTGGCTGTACAACCAGATGGTTTCCAGAGCTCTTCTGCATATGCACCAAGTTTATCAGTACTGTGAAAATCACAGAGGTACTTCTTGTAATTCCTGTTTCCCTTCTTTTCTGACTATTTGTGCAAACAGCATTTTGAAAAACACACAGAAACTATTTTTCCTGGCAAAAGTGTTGGAGTTTTTTGTGTTTTTTATATTCTATTGGTCCAGGAATGCTTTTGCACTTAACACCTCCGCAAACTTTTTTTGGTGACACAGTATCTCATCTGGTAGGTCCATTCTGAGATGGCTGGCTGGCGTGCCAAATACAAGCTCCAAATCCTATCTTCCCAGGTGCTAAATTACCTTTCCTGATAGTCTGAGCAAAATCTGGGGAGGTGTTTGGTTTAGGCTCGAATGGTACACTCAGATCTCAGCCTCTTCTGGACACCCAATAGCCCTGCGAATATTCCAAACTGATAATGTCGGTCTTGAGCGAGAGGTGGTCTGAGAAAGCACTTTTCCCTGCCTTCTTCTTGAGCAGAGAACAAATGTGGGTGTTGTAGGGAAAAAATAAAGAGCAGGGATGTGTGTGTAAAGTCAGGGTTGTGGATGTGCTCAGGCCACAGCTGCCCGCAGTGTGTCGCCTGCTAGAATGGGATAACACATCTTCGAGCATCCACTTGAGCCCAGCCTGTGCTCTGGCACTTCATATGCAACTTGTTGTGACGTCCAAAGGGCACCTCACAGCCTGAACTGCAGCGCAGAGGCCACCCAGGAATGCCAGCAGCAGAGCATGAACTTCTCCAGGACAGCTTTAGCTGGCAGCCTCCTGGTGAGGGGGCCCAGCTTTCTGCCCTTGGACCACCCCTGCTCCCTGCACAGCCCATGCAAATCGCCAGTGCTCTCCTTCCTCTCCCTGGCAAAAGAACCTCAGGCCAAATCTTGTGCCAGGCACCCTGGGCAGCAAATCATGCAGACATTACCAGAACCCAGCGCTGTGGGTCCATTCCCATCATCTTAGTGGGAAGAGATGAGATCCTTGCTCCTCCAACAACAGCTCATCACCAGCTACCTGGGCATCTGCCCTGACTCTCCTTGCAAAAAGAGGGCACTGCTTTGCTTTTATTCTTGGTGTTTTGTGCTCTGTTTTTCTTTCACTAGTGTTTCATGCTCTCATACAGACTTATTTCTCCGGAAAAGCTCCTGTGCATAAGGATTTCTGTTTTCATTTATGACCTTAAGGGAAAACATCTGTTGCTGTTGCTGTCTTGCCATTTGTCTTCAGCTTTCCTCATAACTGTTGTTTTACTTGTGGTATCATCGTTCTTTCTGTATCCCCACTATCTTTCTGCACTGTATCTCCCTGTCTCTGTGATAAGTCATATGCTGGTGTCAGTGTTTTCCGGGACAAAATCAAATTCTTTATTTTTAGGAGGTGTTTAAGTTAATCTCTTGTCTGTTACTGCTCTTTGAGGTTTTAATGTTCTATTATCTTGTTCCAGACCAAATTTTCTCATCTGAGATAGTCCCAGAGAGATAATATGCCTCAAAATTTGAATTTCTTGTTTTTCTCCGCAATGGAGAATTGCTGGACTTTCTCTGGCTTGTTTTTGTTTTTTAGCTTCTTTAGCTGTATTATTGGTGCCTTGGTGATGTTTGTTAACAGCTGTTGTAGGAACATATTGTAAGCAAAAGAGAGGCCCAGATTTATCTGATTTATACTGTCTTGCTAAGTGCCTTGTCATTGTTTTATAAAGCCAGTGGGGAGAAAAAGAGGACAACTGAGATCTTAAGTGAGTGAATTTGTCCTCACTTCTCTTTTGAATAAACCACCACCAAGTTACATAGTGAGACTGTAGTGCAACTCTTCTCCTCACTGAGGCAATTCAGGAAAGGGTTAGAACTCCTCCATGCTCCAGTCTCAGGGGCTCTTTTCCTGTGAAATCAAAAGCCTTGCCAGGCTGGTCTCCATGTTATTTCCATCACTAGATGCTGCTTGTGCTCTGCAGGCTCCCTCTAGTTTTTAATTCCACCCAGAGTTAAAAAAAAAGTATTACATTCTACTGGAAATTTATATATGCTCATGTCAATTCCTTTCTTCCTAGAGTTATGAGGAGAAAATGACAGATGCTATTGCTGAGACACAAGCCAGTCTCTGATCTTTGTATATGAAATCTTTTCCTAGGGATCTCCCACAGCCTTCATACAAAGGATTTTCAAATTTCAAGCCTAAGTTCTGAATAGAAATACTTTTCTAGATTTCCTAGATGGAAAGAAAACCTTACTGTAAATCTCTGATGGCCAATCCTTTTTTCCTCCCATAGTTCAGCAAAATTCCACCTGAGTGGTGCAGCAGAAAAAAACGCCCAATTTTATCAAAACAAAGCAATAAAACTCTTTTAAAGGTTTAAAAAATCTTTAAAGGGGAGAGACACCTGCATACACTCAAAGAGCCCCAGCTGAGTTAAAGACAAAGATTGTGTATTGTGGAAGCTCAAGCCAAGCAGTGAATGATGAAAAAAAATCCCTCATTTAATTTCTTGGCTTCTGCAGTCTTATCAGAGTGTTCTGCCCAGCAGAAATGAACCCTGTGAAAAATGTATATCCCCAAGTTCAAATGTGCAGTGTAAAACAATATCTAAAAGAAGTTAATTCCATTGCTTGTTCCTTAAATAGTTTTCAGTGCGAGATATGGTTTTATAATCACGTGTCTATGATCAGAGACTTTTGGATAGACACCAAATCAAAACATCAGCAAAGAGAATGGGGTGATGTGGAAAACTGATTTATTCATTCAGAGTCAATAAAGTAAGCATGCAGTAGCTGGATTGTAAATAGCCCTGTGGAGAAGATTTATAAGTCTTAACTTGGGGAGACAGGTTTATCCCAGTTAAAAGCACATTTTGACTGGAAGAACCCGTCACCATGTTTATAAAATGGGGCCTTGCATGCAAGATGTAACCTTAGGCCTGTGTGAATTTGAAATGGGCAAACAATGTCATCTGCAACCATGTTTTTAATCTCTAAAGTGGAAAGCTAAAATTGACCAGAAAATATAAAGAAGGAAGATAAAAATTCTAAGCAAAATAATTCTAGGCCTCAGCAGGAATATGTACAGTGCTTAAAACTTCCCTTTGCTCCAGATTGCTGTGTTTATAAATCAAAATTATATGTCCAGTGGGGAAAAGGGAAGTAAAACTGTTTCCAAATGAAAAAAGGACAAGTGATTCATTTCTGCTAAAATCATAATTGAAAATACAGAATGCAGAAATGCTCTTGGTTTACTCTTGTTTTTATTTGCAACATTTGCTTTGTTGCAGTTAATATGATCAGGAGTCTGAAAAAGAAACCATTTAAAGAAACCATTTACGACTATAAATCTTTCAACTATTTGAAAAATAATACACATTGCAGGCTTTCTGCACCCTATAAAACAGAGCTTCATCTTTACCAGGGATAAATGCACTTCCTTCGATTTCCTGATAGAACAGGCCTTTCCAGTATTTCATTTATTAAACAAAAAATATCTTTATTGAATGTAGTTATAAACAACTCTGAAGAAACCCTAGTGAAATCTAATGAGGTATTTCCCTTTGCAGCATGACAAGGTTCAAATATGTGCATGTGTGCAGTAAGGAAAATAAAATTGACTCTGACAATCAGATACCCCAGCGAGCTTCTATCTTTGCAACAAATGTGCTCTAAATTCCAATGTGCTTTGACAATTACCATTTATTTCAGTGCATCCTCCCCAGACACTCATTCTTGAGAGCCAAATTCCCGTCTCGTGGAAGTCAGAGGGAGGCTTGCCATAGGTATCAGTGGTGGAAAGATTTGATCCTTGCTATGTTTAAAAGCAATCAGATGGATGCAAAATGAGCGGAAATGAGCGCGTTTACCCCTTGAAGTACCGAGGACATTGAAAAAGCACATGTCTGGTATTTTTATTTTGGAGCTCTCACACGCTGACAGAATTGCAACTGCCCTTCATGAGTTAGCAGCATCCCTCTTCAAGGCCTTCACAGGCATTTAGGGGTGCAGACAATTGTCTTCCAGTGCCATAAGTCAGATTCATCTCTCTAGGTATGACGTGCCCTTCTGTCAGTAAAATATTGCTCCCAGGAGTTCATCTGTGCTGGAGACTCTCCTAGGGTTTTGGCGAGACATAGAATGGAGGTTCTTGGATTTAAAGATGTGCTGCAAACACAGCCCATTGCACCAAGAGGTGGATGAGGCTCCCTTATGGATAGGGAAAACTTAAAAGCAAAAGAAAAACAGAACTGTTGTAGGCATCTCTGGAAAAAAGGGGGACAATATTAACAGAGGGGTCCTAGGGTGCATGTGAAATGAATACTTTTGAAGTTCAGTCACTCGTATGACTCTCGTTATCAATAATGAGAAGTTATTAATGATAGCAACAAAGAGATAAGGCAACAAAAAGAAAGATAAGGACAACTATATTATCATAATTTTTTAAAAAATTTCGACGTAAGTTGAACATAAATATAGATTTAGATGTTAAATTAATGTAAACATTTAAGTAGATATCACTGGTCTTCTGAGATGGCTGTGTACACCAGCAAGCTTAGGTCATGGGGTGAAGATAAATACTGAGCAACCAGATTAATGCCACAGAGCCAGTCATCCTATAACTCTGGGAAGCCATATCAGTGAAGGAAAAAAAATCTCAAGCATACCCTCAAGTCCCAGTGACTTTGCTTGCAGGATCAGCTCCCCACTTCCTCCACGTGACATCCAGGACTTTTTCCAGCACTGCAGGAAAAATTGTGGACATTTCCAGTCAATTCGGAGAATAAACAAAACACAAAAGAATTGTGATGAAACTGGGAACACCCTTCAGGCAATCTCACAAATTAGACAAAAACTAAAGAAAAAATGCTCACTGTACATGGATTGCATAAGCCTGGAGGAAAGCCAGTTTCCAGATATCTGTGAAGAGGTGAAAATAGAGAAAAATCAGTTCTTGCCTTTTAATACAGAAAAAAGGTTTGAGCAGCCCTTGAAATGCAGTGGTGTGCTGTCAATTGCTATTTCATGTTTTTCATGAAGGTGTGGGCCATGTGTCTACTGCTGCTCTACTATTGCTGAGGTGTTGAGACAACATGTAAAAGTGTGACAACAAAGGAGAGTCTCCCTTTCTCAGATGTCATGTTAGTACCTTCAAGCAGCCTCTTCAGTTGAGGCTTGTATTCTTGTATTTTTATTTATATTCCAGCTGTCCCTCAGAATGATTGGTGGAAAGGTGTTACCCCAAGGAAGGCTAGAATTGCTCCTCCAGCTGTTGGGTTTATTATCTACATTTTAATATGGGCAAAGAGGAGACTTTTTGTGGCACAGCTCCAGCACGTTGGTTCCAGCCAGCAGAGTGCAGAGCATTGCACTTACCTCTGCCAAGCAGTGTAATTACTACAGGCCTGACAACACTTCCCATTTCCTAGAACTGCTCCAGTTTAGACTAAATCTCTTTTCACAAAACTAGGAATACACTTAGTAACACTTTCATCGAGTTGTTACCACCCACAAGGGGGGCCATGAGCTCAGAGAGTGGTAGCTCAGAACAACACCAGTTCCTTGTTGTACTTCAAGTTGCTAAAAAAATTTGGGTGGGTGAGGTCTGGTTACTCAGACTGACTTCTGCTGTCTCCCCTCACAAAGGGACATTAATAGGTGTGCTCTGGATTGGGATGCACTTTGCAGGTGTGACAGTAGAGATGCTTTTTCAGAGCAATAAACAGAAATTTTTTCACATAGTCAAAGCACAGATGAGGAACTGGGTGACAGAAAGATTGCGTGACTTACTCGGGTCATACAGGAAGATTGTGTCAGTGCTGGAAACTGAATGTGAAATTTCCAGCTCCCAGCTAGCTCATTAATTATTTTATCATCTTCTGCCACAATAGGAAGATTACTGAGAGTGCAGTCATTCCTCACATAACTGCTGGGAATGCTGAATGATTCTAAGTGTACATAAATACATAGGGAAAGAGTAGATTTGAAAAAGATGTGATAAACATTGCCACCCTAATCTGTATATCCTCATCTATATGTTCAAGTGGCCTAGTTGTAATGGTACTAACAATGCATATCAAAACCCATGGGTGGGAATCCAAAAACTCTGGAACACTGCCTTCAATATGTTCATATTGTCCTCTGTAGATGGCAATTTCTGTCCTCATAAAACTGTGCCTTGATTTTTATTCATGTGTAGCAACACTCCCTCCCCCTGAAAATATGCTCTTATTTCTCATCTTCTACTAAAAAAAGTGAGAACTTGTGGCACTCACCAACTTTGAAGGTGAAGCAGTTAATGCAGGCTCTTTAGGCAGCCTTCATATTACTCGTTACTTTGCATTCACTTCTTGATGTTACCACCTTTATATTTGCTTTGCCTATAAATATATGAACTTGGTGGGGCTGTGCTTAACATTTGCCAATGTTCTCAATAGATTTGAAGTAGATTTGAAGTGTCATAAAAGAAGAAAGGAGGAGCATACTATCTAGTCTGATTTTTCTGCGCAGCTTGTACTACAGAATTTCACTTACCAATTCCATGACACCCAAAGTTCTTAATTAAATCTTTGGGATTTTTGGTAAACTAAACAAAGCCTCACAGTGGGAGCCTTCTAGTCAACTCTCCTACCCAGCCATGTTGTCTCTTGCTTTACCTTTTGTAATTGTCTTTGCAGCGAAACAGTAATAAACAATGCACAAAGGCAGAAGAATATCAGCTGGAAAAGGGTCACTAAGTAGTTGGACTGTGATATATGATACCCCTGAAAAAAAGTCAAAGCAATTTGGGGAAAAAATGGTATGATGAATTACAGGAAATAGTAAATTACAGAAAAGTGTATTCTCTGCTACTTTTTCATAAATCCCTTGAAACTATTGTCATGAGATGATGATTAGAAATTTCAGTAACACAGTGGTAGAAGCAGCCTGACTCAGAGACTACTTCTGGTTTTGTCTGCAAAACTTCCATTGCTGAATGTGTGAAAAGTGCAAGAAACTGTGTATATGTGAATTAACATTAATCCATGCAAACAACAAATAATTTACACGTTGTAATTTATCTTCAGATAAATAATTTGTAACCTCTAAGCCAGGTCCATGGAGCTGCGCTCATATGGAGCTCAAATTTGGCCTCCTATTTTCATTAGGAACCCCTATTACAGATAACTGAATAAAATAGTGTAAATAATTTACACTCTTATAATTTCCCTTCAATCTGCTGATCTTTCCTTGAGCACAGTTTTGTTATAGAAGCACTCTTAGCATCTTGACCATCTAAGTATAGGCACCAACCAATCTCTCACCATTCACTATGCTTTTATCTACTCTTGTGCTCTTTTGTAAATAGACTGAGGTTTACAGTTCAGTATTTATTTACTCAATCTCCCATGCAGCAATGAAATCAGGTACATGGTCCTTAATATGCATTTCTGCTTGGGTCTGAAGTGCAAGTCTGCAGTGCTTTATCTATTTACAGGGCACAGATCTCTATCAGAGAGGTGCCTTCTGCATGAGAGTAGATTCCTCATTTTCCCTCTGTTTATTTTTGCCCATCAGGATTTTATACAGTGCTCCCTAAAATGGACAGAAAGACACCTGTTGATTAACTGGGTTTTCTGTCATGCTCCAGGAAAATGAGAAAGGCATATTGATCTTTTGGTTTGCTTTTAAGACACATTTTGAAATTCTGTGGTTTTGGCTGGCACTGTAGCCTTGGCAGGGCCTTCAACCTGCAAAATTAGAACCTAAAATGTACCATTTCCCCAACTCACTGGTGTACATTGCTCATACCAGGAGTGCTGTGGTTCTCTGGTGCAGCAGCTGTCAGCCACCTCAGGCAGATTTTCAGCTGCTGTCCTCCAGACCCAGCCTGCTGCATGTCTGCCCTACCCCTCCAACACCAGTTACATGGCATTCAAGATGATGGCAGCAAGTGTGTGCTCTGTCACAGACAAAAAATAATTTTAACACATCTCCTTTTGTAAGGGAAGAGATCTCTGGTGTTTCTCATGTCAAAATTCCAACTAGCTCCCAGCTTCTCCTGAAGCATTTCCCTTCACTGACTCTGGGATTAAATGACTGAGCACACAACAATGTCCACAATAGCATTTCCAAATCCTAGTGCCAATGCTGGGATCCTGGGAGAGGTTGATGGGAATCATGCCCTTAACTTCCCCCTCCAGTGAGACATGACCACATAATTTGCATTCCTTCAGCAATCTCACCTCAATTCCATGTCTGTCAGTTGTAGGCAACAAAACCTCAAATCCAGCTCTTCACTCAAGCTTATGCTGTATTTATAATTATGTGAAATTTCTGATTACAGTCCCTGCCACAGCCTGAGAGTCTCATATCACCTGACATTTTAAATGTGCTCATGAGTTTGGTCCTAATTTCAAAGCCAGGCAACCAAAGAAATCAAAAGTATGATTTTCACAAATGCTTCAGCTGGTTCCCTTTAAAAATGATGCATGTCTAATAAGGATTATGGTGGGCTGCTATGGGCACCAAAATTTGGAGACGTTGGCCTAAATGACATGGATAAGGAGAAGTGTTTTTTACATGAGCTGTTATATAAAACTCTTGAGTTTCAATAAATAAACACATCTATTTAGGAAGTGGTGACAATGTGCAATCTGCAAAAATGGGAAGCCTCAGAGGTGCTGTGGTAATAATGCAGTTACTTGAAGCACATTGAAGATACAAATATCTCTGTGGTTTTTTATTTGCTTCCACTCTTTGAGTCATTCTGAGAAACCAAGTTGTGCACATTCCAGTTATGGGCAAAGCACGATGCACTCCTCACTGAGTACAAAAAGCTTTACTCCAGAAGGCTACAGCGTGGGCTGAGAAGAAGTCTTTTCCAGGCACTGGAAAATGCAGATTTGAAGCACAATGTAATGGAGAACTTTGTTTCATGTGTATAAAAGAAGAAGAAGAAAGGCAAACATTCTTGGCACAAAGAGACAATTAAAAAAATAGGGAAGTGGATACTCTCAAGACTGAAGCATTTCTGTCATAACATGTGCTGCTGAAGTCACCAGAATGTGGTGGTGGTGATGGTGTGGCTTTGTCCTAGCTGGAGAGAGACTGTTTGAGATTAGTATTTTAAGTATTTATTACAAAATCATGAGCACAGCCAAATCGCTCAGAGGATTAGGGAAATTAGTTCATGAAACAACAGTTCAAAATAATTTTGTGTCTCCCAATTTTGAAAGTTAAGGAATAGATCCAATTAAATTAATTTCCAGAAGTCCTCAAGAACAAGGTGGCATTAGAAAGGAGCTGATTTTGCCCTAGAAGATTCAAAGACAGGAGAAAAGCAGATATAAATATCTTCAAATAAAGCAAACTGCCAAAGCAATAGGCATGGTTTTGTTTATATTGCTTAAATAAAGACTTTTTTTTTTTGCTCTGGATGCACTGTAAAGCAGCTGTCTAGTGATCAGGATTGTTATAGATCTAGATCTGCACAAAATCAGCTGCCAAATGCTTCCTAATGCCTCAGTTTACTCAAGGCCACAAACAAAACCCCATACAACCCATAAATATATCCAAGAATCATGAATAAAATAATCAGCACAAGCAGACATGCTCATTACTGAAAGACATCATTTTTGCTATGATTTACTGAGGTCCACAGGACCCTTCAAGTTTAGTCAGAGTTTGCATTAGAGGCCTGACCATGCCTGCTCCTGCTCCTGTCAGTTATTCAGGCTTTTTCTAGCTTTCCCAGGAGAAGCTGCTAAACACTTCCACCAAAGCCTGACTCTTCCCTCACTTTTCTCTGAGCCATCCATCTTCCAGCAAGCTCCATGCTGATGGATCCCTGGGGTCGTCCATAAGCCCAGAAAGAGCCCAGGGCTGCCATGCAGATACAGGAATCTGCCTGGGAAGGTGGGATGCTGTTATCACAGCATGAAGGTCTCACAGGGCATTTCAAAGACCAACCTGGGGGAGTGCCTTTGAGTCTAAAAGGAAATGCACTCTTGTGTAGGCAGTTTAATATCCAAATTTGCAGAGGAGCTCAATTCCCCAAACGTTATTGGTAGCAGTGCTAAGTGCCACACGGTGTTTCAGTGGAAACCCGTGAAACCTGTTCAGACAACAAAGCCCAAGCCCAATTCTCAATGCTTGCTGGAGCAGGCTCAAAAGCTGAAATAAAGACCTGACCCCTGTGACACACACATGTGACCCATTCCACTGACAGCCTGTGGAGGAAAAGGCTGGAGGTATCCAGCATGTCAACACTTACCTAGGTTTGGAGGGCAGGGTGCTTTCCCATAATCAGAGGGAAGTGTTGGAATGTGTTGTTGCTATGTTTTTTAAGTCCTTTTGAAACTGTGGCCCTAAGGAAATGAGGAAATACAGAGGATGAGGTTACATTGTTATTATTATTTCACATTTTTTGAACATAGGCTTATATGGCTGGATTCATATTATATTAGCTTTCTAAAGCTTTAAAAACACAGGGCTTACGGTGCACACTCAATGCTTTATTTGTTAAATTAATGTATTTCTGTTTTCAAAAAATCCTGCCTATCTAGCAAGCATTCCTTTTTTGCTCTCTCTTTCTCTCTCATGTGCCTTGGAATATTCTTGTCTGAAAACACACGTGTGTAAACTTTTATAAATATAAAATTTAATTTTGGAGTAATAAATCAGTTTTCTGTGCTTTCCTTAATTTTTGACTTGATGTTGACAGCCACTCTCTGACCAGGTTTCCCAACACCCTCACACCGTGAGCAGCCATTGCCTTAAAAACAAGTGGGATCAGTCCCTTCAGACATCCAAGTGGCTATCCTGTTTTCCAGAGATGTGTTTTCCACACAGGAATGGGTTTCCAGGTGCTTCAAGTAAAAGAGGCAAGAAGAGCAATCTCCATATTTCTCCTGAGACTGGGAACCTGAGCCTACATCCACATACATCAACTTACATGATTGTCAGGTTTTTTGACTACAGTGGAATTGTTCCTGAGTTGTGCCACTCTCAGGAAGATCAGAGAAAGGCTCATTAGGCATGCTGCTCCCTAAATCCCAGCACAAGAAAGATTATGATATTGAAACCATAAGAAACTATCCGTTTGCCACAATGACACTGCACTGTCTCTCTCTTTCTGGTATTTCTTTTTATGCAGCTGTTAAACCTTTCTATACTGATTTCCATAACAATGTCTTCATACATGTATTTATTTTTTAAAAAGTCTTGTGTGTGTTTTGTAGTATATAGTACACAGCAGAAAAGAGCTGAAGAATCATCTTTCTAATGTTAATTAGCCAATCTGGTACTGTTCCTCTTCAATGGAAGACCAGAGTTGGCTGACTGACTTAAAACATTTCAATGCTGTTGCTGTGTCTTCAGGTAGCTGCAGGAATAAATGGAAATGACAAAATACATCAGGTCTTTCTTCTGACAGCTGGCCTAGGAGTTGTTAGAGATCATCACTTGTCTGCCCTCTGATGTACAGTCTTATATGGCAAGAAGCCTTGTCCCCTTGGATATGCCCTTTTTTCCCTTTATGATTATTGTCTTATCTTCCTGACAGCTATATTTGTCCTGATTTTACTCCTTTTCTCCCCTTCTCCAGTTGCCAGGATTCTCTTTGCATCACTAGCAAATTTAAATTTTGTGGCAGTTCACCATCCATCCCAGCAGAAACATGTTTCTTCAAAAAAATCACCTTTTTCTTTACCAGTTTTTACAGATGAGTGAGAGAGTGCAAGCTAGTTGACTTCTAACTGCCATCACAGTATTTCCTCAACAATCCTGAGTGTTTTTTAAAAACACTGTAAATAAAAAAGAAATTGTCAGGAGCATTTCTACATTTCAAATAACTGTCCAGTACTGCACGTTGTGTCCAAAACGCCACAGTAAGATACACTCCATGTTGCTGGAACATGAACTACACGCACAAGTCAATGCTCCTGCTCAGCAGAATTTCCTCCCTAGTACATAGGAAATTTCCCAACATCCAGAGGAATCACTTCTCCCTCAGCTGCTCCTTAAATAGCCACCAAATAAACTCCTGGAGTCATCACTGAGCAAAGAGGACAGGCGGAGCAGCACTGGAGTGCAGTGCTCTGCCAAGCACCCTTTACTCTGTGTCACAATGGCCTCTAGTGGATTAGCAGCAATTGACAGACAGCTGTATCATCCACCTACATTTCCTTTATGGTTTCCTTCGGGGTAAAGGGAGGACACCATGCTGATATGTGCACCTGCTGCATTTAAAGTCAGAGCTGCAGCAGGGTGGCAACAGAAAGGAAACCACTGTATTCTCAGATGCTTTATCAATATCCCCTCTTGCTTTATCAATAGAGGATAACTGGCTTCTCAACGAAAAAGCAAAAAAAATAATTTCTAACAGGCTTATTTGGTTTTGACCTCCTACTCTTTTTAACGTCATCTGATGCAACTTCATTGGTATTGCTTCTTTGGATTTCTTAAGAACAATGAGTACAAATTGAAGAGATGAGGAAAAATTCAAAGGAGGATGTGTTGTGAAGTCAGCAAATGTCTTTCACAATATTGGCTTTTAAAGGTCCACTGTTATGTTTGTGTAATTTATGCTTCCTGCTTCACAGAGCACACTGCCTTATCACTGAAGATTTTGTGCTGCTCTTTGTCTGGTAATGGCAGGGCGGGGAAAGCGTTTCCAGACACAGTCATCCTGAACTTCCACCTGTTAATCTTCCTTTCAGGAGTCAGCAAGGACTCGTTTTTTTATAGTGGTTCATGCCTCAGGGGCACATTTGGGCTAAAATGCAAGGACCACTAGTTCACCCAGGGTAGAGCCAGCACCGTCCCCACCTCCAGAGAGCTGTCACAAGAGTAGCTGAGGTTGGGCATAAACAATATTGAGGAACTTTCTAATGTGGGATAGGGAAAATAATGGCAACTTTTCAGGAAGAAAAGTCAAATGAGCAAGCTGCTCTTTGTCAAGGTCCAACCTGATCAGCTACTGCACTGAGGAGGTTTTCTTCTCCCCTCAAAATGCAGTATAACATTACAATGTACCTTGTACACTTAGAGAAACCTTGGTTTTGTTAAAAAAAAGAGAATGCTTTCTCATTAACTTCACTGAGGTCTTTGAAGTCATTAATCAGTTTTCTTGCAAGATAAAATGTGACTGAAAGAAAGGAGAACTAAGCTGCTGCTTTTGCAGAGCTGTCTCCTTTCTTTGGCTGCAGGATCTCTCAGCTTGTTCTTAAAGGTTTAAGGTACAAGCCAAGGTGAAGTATTGTCCTCTGAAGGACCATGTATGGTCCCTCCTATAGCACGTCCCATAAAGATCAACACTAGGGATCTCTTATAGGCAAATCGACCACGAAACTGGAAGAGGGAGTATCACTGCCTTCTTTAGGAACCCTGGAGCTTGGTGTATTTTATACCTTGTAGGCACACTCAGGTAGAGCTCAGTCTTATGCAAAGTCTCATGCAATGTGCATTGTTCAGATTCAGGCAATCATGCACAGAAAAAGGCAAGCCCTTAGGGAAAAAAGGCTTTTATCTTGGCTTCAGGAGCATGAAAGGGCTAACATTTCACCAGCAGCTGCTCCTGTACCACAGTGATGGACACAGGGAAGGCAAGATGATTCCAGCACCTCTTTTCCTTGGTAGTTTCTCTGGCTTATAAGAGATGATTTTCATTCCCGTGCAACACGCTTAGATGTCAGAACCAGTACAAACACTTGTAGGTTAAGCATCTGATGTAAGAAACCCCTTACAACGGATATATTGATAGGGAGCATTTTCACAGACCGAGGTCTAGGAAGAGCTTGCTCTGGCACAGATTTCTTTAGTTCCAGACATCTTGGGAATCCCCAGGAGCACATGAAGGCCCTGGTGTGAATCAGTGCATGGACCAGCATTTGCACTCTGCAAAGAAGGCTGCCATGCAACACAACTCCTTTAGACACCTCAGATTGCTTGCAAATGAGAGAAGCTTAACTACTTTGAACAGTTACTCTCCCATGTTTGGCTGTTTTGCTATTTAGACAAGTTCTGTGCTCTGCTCTACCAAGGGAATAAAAACTAAAACTAAATAATAACTAAAACTTTAATTTTCTATCAGAGAGCCTCTACAGCAAAAAGATAGAAGAGAAGAAACAGAAAACACACAATACAAAGGCAGGCTTGTGTCTTTGCTGAATATTTTCATTGTTTTCCCTGCGAGGCCAGTGGGTTTTTACACACAGCACTAGCACATTTCATTTTGACAACAAGTCAGACTTTCCAAGTCACTACACCTTTCACAACATACTGCAAACTGTCAGTGTGGTAACTTCCTTAAGTTTAATGAAGTTACCTTATGAAATCTCTTGACAGAGCTGGCCGAAAAAAAACCAACCAAAAACAACAGCAACAAAAAAATGGCTACTCAAAAAAATGAGAGGAGTCCCTAAAGAAATGTGATACATGCAATCTGGAAAATTTCTGAGAGGAGAAGGAAGAGTTGTGTGCTGACAAATGGTCCAAACTTCTGGCTAAGATTAGATTTCTGTAGGCTGGATTTAGATAACTGGCTCAATTTTTCAGTGGACTGAATGCCTGCTCTCTCTCAGTATTGGCCCTGCAAGCCACAGGTAGATCATTAAGATTGTGAAATCCAGGTACTAAATTTGAACCTAAATAAAGTTCCAGGACTGATATACTCTAGAAGACTCAAAGAATTGTTATTTGAAGCCTAAATCTCTGGGAGGTCTTTTTGCATAGCCCCAGGACTCTTTCTAAGCACCTATTAAAAAAAAAAAAGTCAGTCTACTTTTTCTTAGGGTAGCCAGCGTAGAGAGATATCTTACACTGTACAGCTGAAGAAATTCCAGGATAACAGTGACCAAAATGAAAGCATGTCTGTCAGTGAACTAAAAGCAGAGACACCCACTTAGACCAGATTAAAAAAACATATATAATTTAAGGATTAGCAGGCTAGCAGAGTTGGAAGGATTTCAAGCTCTTTACTGGGCTCAGGAGGAAATCTCCTTTAATATTCTATGTCATTCAGAAGTAGTCAAGGATTAGTGGTTTCAGAGGAACAGGTCAATACTGATGCATGAAAATGCTGAGGAAGGTCAGCACTGTTTGTCCTGGGTGCTGTGGAAAGAAACAGGTATTGCATCTTTATCTGAACTGTTTGAAGCCAGAAAGAGTATGTAACAGGAGAGGCTCCTTCTGACAAGCTTTGTTTAAACTGGAACTTTGTTAACTTACAGATGTCTATGCTGAGAAAATCTTCTGCCTGCGTTTTTTATGTTCTCTCCCTTTTATTTTTTTTCCTGTTACTTTGTGTAAATTATTCCTACACAAGAGATTGTCTAGGGAAATCCACATTTTGATCACATAAGGACTG